ATATATAAGGATTGTCTAGCGTGTTTACAATTATCTTTCAATTATATTTATTCATGATTTTGTATGAATTGTACCTTTTGAACCAGCTTTTCTTTTAAGAGTGGATAAAAATATATGATAATATTGGTTATTAACGATGGTGCATTAAGATAATGGACGCTAAATAATCGGAAAGGCATGCTATCTTGCACTGCCAACATCGCTCGTCTTACGATAGATTGTGTCGGAATAAATTTCGCCAAATGTGCTGTGCTTAATCCCTAAAAGAATAATTTTTTTTATATAAAATAACGAGAGTTTATATCGCTGATACTAAATACTTTGTGATTAGAAATGCGTCTATGTATATAATAAATATAATACGTGTATTATATACATATATTTTTTAATATATATTATTATATATTAATATATGTATATATATAATTTAATATATATATATATATATATATATATAATCTTTCATTATATTTAGTAAATTTTGTGTAAATGAAGTATCTCATATGATTTCATCTGCTTTCGAGTAACAATGGCATAAATGAGAATGCGCTCGATATATTTGACGCTTAAGTGCAACCTAGTTTTTTATATTTTGTCCCCTAGCTCTACACCCAACCCTTTATATGCATTTTCTCTTAAAGTATGATCAATACAGTAAAAAAAAAATGTGACTGCCATTTCTGATATGAAAAGTTAAGCAGGGTAAAAAAATAAAGCAATCCTTACCTCAAGATCTACAATCATAATATTAGACAAGCAGGATTCCTCCCATAAACGAGCATCAAGTATCATTAAGATACGTTTGACTATCGTTTGAAAAGAAAACTTCTCCACATCAGTATCGCGTAATCGGAAGATGGTGACACGATATCCCTCCTCGGTTAACGAAGGCAAGACGAAGTAGTCTCTAACGAAAATATTGTTTAAGAAGTTATAACTTACAACTTAAGAACTTATAACTGTGAGAATTTATTTACAAACTTTCTGATTTGTTTCGAAACTCCCGGGAAAGGGGCACTCTAATAATTCTTTTTCAGAGATTATTTAGAAGTGTGCGAAAGAATGTAAGATTTATTTACACTACGCTAACGGAGTCTTGAATATCCCGAGATAGCGGATCACGATCGGTGAAAAATTCCGGCAAGGATGTTCGAACGGTGTAATATCTTTCCAGGATTAATTTGCATTTCTCGACGCTGTTCTTGCAATTGTAAAGAAATCTTCCCAGTTTGCCATCATCTACAATCAGTAAAATCGTATGATTTTACTGTAACTACAAAATGTCGCTTGCTTTTTACACGTTAGACATATGCACTCGTATATATATTCTTTATCGGATTTGAAATTAATATTGTTGTCAAGTACTTCATCTTCCTCATTTTTTGATAAACTATTTTTGCCATAGATCTTGTTAGTAGAGAAAAATAGCTCTTTAATATTTGAATATTATATTATTAGAAGCTAGAAGCTACTACTAGTAATCAGAATCGCACATCGTACGTTTTCTTATGATTAAAATAAATTATGAACAAACACCTATATGATTTGGCAAATGCGGTTGCTTAAAAAGCCATTCTCGAAGTGCCCTGATATCCTGTTTTCTCATTTCTGGATCAGGTGGGAGCTCCTTATCCATTTGTTTCTGTTGCGCTGGCGTTGGCGGTAACAATGTCATGATTTTCTGAAACCACAACTGAATCGAATTATTATCTAGCTACAATGAGAATTGCGGAAATCGATATAAGAGAGAAATAATTCCAATAATATATACATATGTATATATTTTGTTACTTTATCTTTTTGTTTTCACATTTTTAGTTTTCTTTATTCTGTAACGCTGCAGTTTTTCACTTCAAACTTCAAAGTAAACGCACGTCATTTCTTCCGTCATCAATGTACCTACTTGACGATATAAGATTGCATCTATTTACTTTCGCATTTTCTTATCAGGACAAATAAAGATAATACTAGGCCATATATGCCTTTGCAGTTTAATTTTCTCATTTTTTTCAACGAACAAATATTTAATCTCGAATTCTGACTATCATGTAATAAACGGTACTCATAATGTAGAATTCAAAGAATTTGGAACAATATAAAAAGATGTATAATCATAAAGGAAAAAGAAATATGTGAAGATATATATTTTTACTTATTTTATATTAATATTTGTGATTCACATTTTACTTTCTTACATCTTCATATTTTATTTGATTTATTATAGCGGCGTGGTGTCATTTGTCATATTGCAAGAAAAAATACGCACATCTTTTACTGATATTGTTCACATGTTATAGTATGATTTACTGTCGCGAAAAAAAACGACCTCGTCCATTCTCCGCGTTACAAACGATGTTTACCTTTTTAAAATATTTGCTTGAGAAACGAAGGCGCGGGAGTAATAGGAAATAACATACAGGCGAGTCAGGGGACTCAGTCAGGAAAGAGAACGCGTACGTGACATGATTTCACAGGCGACCCTGTCTAAATTATTCCCAAATTTCGAACGCATTTTTTTTGCGAAAGCCGGTCGACTGTATTGAATATTAATCGGTTTATTTCAGTTATTATCGTAGAATTGCAACATTTATAATGAAAAATGCCGATATTCTCAATATTTGCATTCTAATCCACACATACACTTATCTTATTTTCACAAAAGTTAAAATAAATTAAATTCTCCGACACTAATAAATTTTTAATTTTTAATGTAGCTAAATATTTGTTTATTTGTCATACTTTTCATTATACTTATAAGTATGAGAAAACAGCGTTAATTTTGCTCCTAATTGCTGCTTGAGTTTTTCAACTATCTCATTATCGTATCACATAACACAAATAACATTATTCTTAAACTGATAAAAATCATTAAGTAAATGCAGAAATGTCACATTGCAGAAAAAAAATGATCAAAAACAGTTTCGGAAAAATTAGCAATTATATATAATTAGGTAAGAAATAATCAGAAAATAAAACTATGAAAAATTAAAATAAAAACCGTTCTTTTTTAATGATGAATATAGAATCGACTTTTTTGTATATAAAATCCATTAAATTATAGTTTACAGACATATTTTATATAAGTCATTATTAATATAAGTGAATAAAACTATTTGAGAAAATAAGTTTTTTTATCTACTCATATCTCTCTATAAAATTAATTTGGCTAAATTGAAATATTTAATAGTTTTCTGTAAAATATATTCAGATTTTTATAAAATATATTTTCTCTAAAATAAAATTAATTTTATTAAAATTGAAATAAAAATAAGAGCATACTTTATATTATAATTTTCTATTTATTGGCGAGTCCAATGAGTCGAGTCGTGGTTTGCAATCACTTACGAATTGAAAAAGATGCAATTCGAAGATCAATCTTTAGCGTATTACGACACTTACTTGTACACAAGTTGATAATAAAGCCAAAATGTGGTGTACGTGAAAATTCCACGCGTTGCTGTACAGTCCAGCTTGATGAGTAAAGAAGTACCTTCCACCGTTTCTGGCGTTCAGGATTTTTATCTGTTCGAAGCAGAGCGATTCCTCTCTTCTTTGAGCAGTACTTTAAGTTCCCCACCATATAGGTACCGTATATAACATAGCTGCATACATAGAAAGAATGTCCACGTGCACACATACACATATATGATTCAACACGTGCGTGAACTTAAGTAGAGAATGCAGACTATTCGTCTCATTGTTTTCATAACGAAACTTGACTGACGTGACCAGATTGCAATAATGATTGCTCAATTTCGATCATTGATCTCGCGCGAAAGTAGCGAGTTGTAGGAGAATCGCACGAGAAATAAAAGCGCGATCTAATAAAAATAATTCTTATTTTGTTACATAAATTTTTTATTTTATCAAAATCAATGCATTTTTTTATTTCCCTTTCGTAATTATGTAGATCAAAATCCGCTGAAATAAAGCCAAAAACCTTTACTTAGCGTGTATATTAGTGAAATTATTGTTGAGTTTTCAGTCTTAAAAAGAAGTCATCTCAAAAAATTTGTCTCTACATCACGTACAAAACTAACAGCCTCATGTTTAAAAATATAAATTAATTTGGATGAGTCAGTACAATTAATCTGTAAACTTTCTTTTGATCTTTATTCTCTCTTTTTCTCTCTTTTAGATATTTTTAGATAATTCTCCTGTATTTTTCAAAATCAAATATGCTTTTTGCTTTATATAATCCAATTATGCATAATTCAATCTTATCTAACATAATTTTACGTCATTGATGTTTCTATAATAAAATACATCGTAAATGCGAATATGAATGTATTGGTTGAAAACGATAAAATATTAAAATTTATTATCACTATTTTTTTATAAAAATGGCCCGTAAAATAGGTAGGCCAAAATGATAGTCGTTAATTATTTAACAATTATTTATTTACATCATATTTCTAAGCTGTCCGTGTTTGGTAGCATAACTTGTGATTAAGGTAATCAATGCACCGTGCATTCGATTGCGAAAATTGTTTGACTTATGGTATATGCAAGTAGAGAGTTTCCGAAAGAATATTAAAAACCGTATATTAACCTATTCGAACAATCGTAAAATTACAATATGAAAATATAACGGTGAATGCATATTGCTTGTGCAATATTTATCAAACGTATAAAATGTATAATTTACTTGATATATCTTAAACGATGTTTCCATTATACAATTATCAGAAAACTCGCAGATTTACAAAGATACTTGAAATTTAAAAGACTTTATATCTTAGCTTAATATTTAAATCTATAATTTTGACTTATTGATATATACCCATATTAGTATTAATTTTTTATTAATTAATATTTTATAATAATTAATATAGTCAGAATTGTTAAAATAAACTGTTAAAAAATAATTATACACTTTTACATATATCCTTGACTAAATTTGAAAGATTAAATATTGATTATATACTAACGATATTACCAAGATAAATATAAAGACACATAGACATTTTTTTATACGAAAAATTTCGGCTTATTTTATGATGGACTTGTTTGCGGTCAAAGTATAAACACACTTGTACTTTGAACGCTGCTAAAGTTTGCGGAATACTCAATCAAAGTGGCTGTTAATTCACAAAGAGATATAAAATGAATAAAATTTAAGATGTAATGCAACTTAAACTGACATTTTGAATACATAAGTGCCACACAGGTCCATAACTCGATCATTTAATTGAGACTCAATAATTGAAAAATATAACGATTTGGCATATAACATTCGACTGACGAAAGATGTGATTTCATGATCTCGGTTGCAAATGGCGTTTATTTTGTAATTCATTGCAGTTGACAGCTGATGGATGCCATAATGACCGATCATTCTTTCTATACTTCACGTGTTACTATTACGTTGTTATACTTTTAGCAATTTATAGCAGTGTCATTATTAATAATTGCGTTGAAAATTCCATCATTATATCTAGAAAAATTGGATTCAGCTGTCAGAACATGAAATCGTGAACATCGTTCTGAAAATTACAAAATGTAAAGTTTCTGTCGACTTGCGAAATGGTGGACTGCATTACCATATGCAACAGCGCCTGCATAACATGTATCTGGTGCATTCTCTTTTCGGTATGGTACGACTTCGTAACAGTCAGTCGATCGCAAACTGATCTATAGGAATATGCTAAGGCATATTCCGTGTACTTTTTTGATCAAATTAGTTTTCTTTTCCCTTTTAGTTTTCCAAGATTCTCGAAAAATCTTAAGAAAGTGGATTCGAGCGAGTGTTGCATACGCAAAAAGTCGAATCTGAAACACCAGAAAGCACATACGCGTGATTTTTCAAGATGCGTGAAAGCCGATTTAGTTCGTGCACGACGATTCAATGATTGTTCGTGCTTTGAACGTGATCATGAAGATCGACGAGAACATCGTTCCCGAGAAAAAAAGTGCGATCGAGCATTAGGAGAACGTCGAAATGCATGTCGATGCTTAAAAAAGGATAGGAAAATTTCGCCAATATATAAAAGACCGGTCAAACATTCGAATAGTTACAGCAAGTCGGACAGATCTCTAAGCAAAAAGAATAGCAACACAATTTTGGAAGCAGACAAAAGTGAATATGTCTGTAAAAAATCTTGAGATATATTAATTAGTTCTCAAGAATCGAAAATAATTTTGAAATGTGCAAATCAAATGGAAATATTGAATAATAATAGGGAATATGTTTAATGAAATCAATAATAACACTGTTAAGTGCATAGAAATACATACACTACATCTTTGAAAATATTCTAACGTTTATTAGGAAAAATTTATTCATATTGCAAGTATTCGAATAAAAATATATACGTGTTAATAAATAAAACAAATATGCCGAATATTATATATTCATTTCGTCGAATATTATATATCATTAATTTTATTAACTTGTTCATAAATTGTTAAGGTTTTTCGTCAGTGGCTAGATTACTCTCGAAACTAGGTTCAACGTTATAATCACGTTTTCTATTTGTTGTATCTTTCTGGATAACAATATCTTTGAAAGGAGGTCGCATTGAATTAACGTCAGAATCGTTGTCAACAATCTGCACAACTTTTTGGACTGTTGAAAACTCCATTACAACCGTCGATTTCGTATCATTTATTGTTTGAGAAGCTTCTGACATTTTCGATTTTTCGTCGAACTTTCTTACTTTCAGTCCGTCTCTAAAATACAAATTTAATAAAATGACGCATAATAATATTAATAATAAAATAAAGAACAAAGGGAAATTGAGGAAAAAAATAATATAAAAAATCTAATCACGGGAGTAACATTTTCTCTCCATTTTTCTTCTGATATTCTGATAAATATCTCAAATTCTTCTTAGATCGTTCCTTCCTTTTATTTTTGTACTCGCGGCTATCGTTTTTGTTGGAATTGCCGACAATCTTAACGTCACCATAGCCGTCAAAATCTGATTTTCCTGGCTTTTTAGTAGTTCGTAAAACTCTCGATCTTTTCAAATCAGCTTTTGATCGAGCAGTTTTCCTGGCGCAACAATGGTGTCCCTGATATTGCCATCTAATATGCAAAATTATTAGTGCGATAGTATAATTATTACTTACATAATACAGAGAATTTTATTATTATTTTAATTGTTTTAAATTTAAATCGGAAAATAAGTCAAAATAGATTGTTACAACAATGTGCAGGTCGTGACTGTGGAACTGAACATTAAAATGCAATTCAGCACCGTCAAAACTATTAGTGGTTCCAGCATGATTCGCCAACATCTTCCCTCGTTTTTTCGATTGAAGGAAAAGTTGATTGTCCGCGATTCCTTTTCGTCAGACTTAACTACTACTGCAATTTTTTTCCAAAATTTTATACGAAAAACCAGACAAATTGATACATATTCACTTTTAATATTATGACGACCATTATGCCAGTTCGATATTAAATTCGATATTTCGCCATTGTCAATATATATAACAATATTCAGAATGAATTAAAATTTAAATCTCTGATCTCTATATATAGAGATCATTTTTATTTTCTAGTCTAGCTGTATCTATACTTTGTAAATCATTTAATATTTTTGAAAGTACGAAGAAATAATTAAATTAAATTTGAAATAAAATTTCTTCCTCTTCGTGAAACAATTTTTATATATGTATTCGAACTTTTATATAATTTATTTATGGTAGTACATTGTACAAAAATTTTAGTGATGCTCTTGAAATTTATGCGATATATATTCTTTTAATTCATCAAAAACGTCTCGTTTGCGGAGTCGGCGGCAGGTGACGATTAGGGATCGGAAAGGGAAGATATGCAGGAAATGCGTACAGATTACCATAGCTGTTGACAGGGGAATCAGCCAATCAGCAACCCCGCTATGCCGTAGACCTTCTCTCGACGGGAGTCCTCCAAGGACCTTTTGTGAACACCAGGACGCACAATGATGCCGTAACCGCAATATAAAAACGCTGGTCTCGAGATCCCTCGATCCGCGCATCTGTGTGACGTAATATAATGATGATATTACGGCTTTTCTTCCCCTATCTTTCGTTTGCGGATACGAAGCAAGTTCGGTTGCGGTTCTCGATATGACAATACGAGGAATCGACGGACCACCCTAAACGATCGTCACCACCTGTGGCGAATACGCGTTCGCTGATTTATTTATTCCTTCGCTGTTGGCGACAATTAGTGCATGCGAATTAATGGCCATTAATGCGAAAAAACGAGCAAGCTCGCGAAGCTTTAATATCAGACTAAAGATTAATCACGAAATTTAAAGAAGAAAACACATCGTCGTTGATAATAGTTTTAGATGGAGGAGCAAGAAATATTTCTAACACGAAAATTCTCTTTAATTAAGATACGCTGCAAGATGCGTCTTTATATATTTTCAATTTCATTCACGTCGAATCGTGCGAAAAAATCTCGATTTTACGCTTCCTCCAAGTGGTTCGTGAATTATCGCCGCTCTTTAATCCCGAAAACGGGCCCGATCTCGCGCGTCGAGATCTTTTCCTTAGCTCTCGAGAAGCCGTCCCACGTATAATAATATCGCGGTCACTTGTCGCTCCATTCATCAGCACCGCAGAAGCTTCTCTTTAGTCCGGAAAACCGAGTAGCTTTTCACTCACCGCTGCTCGTCACGCTGTTTTCCCGCGTGTATCGAGAGCGTGTTCATTCTTCGTGGCGTCCTAATTTATTGGCCGGCATTCATTGTCATCGTTCTTAAACGCGCGACCACACAGAACGCGAACGACACCTTTATGAACTCCCACGCCATTCACGAAACTGCCCATGCTTTTTCTTACCCCTGCGTCTACGTATTGTGGGTCTTTACGCTTCCCCTACGCACCGATAATCGCGACATTTATCCTCCTTTCTTTGTGCATTCAACCTTATACGTTGAATCATAGAACATCGCGGACGACGTTCGCGGGATATTCGTGATTCGCCGACTGTGACGACCTCGAGAAAATCCTCGTGACTGTCCTCGTGACCGAAGAAATATGGGGACAGTTGGATATTTTTCAAGCGTCCTCAAAACCACTTATAAAACGATGCAGCGTCAATTATACTCAATGAAGAATCATCCGTATCGTATTCTTGTCCGACGATCGATTTAACGAATTCTTTTCCAAATAAAAATGATACTCAACGTATGAATAAGATATATACAATAATACATTTTTCTTTATACGCAAAAACTTGTACAAATATCATTTTTCGCATATGCGCTTTGGCTTATATTTTCAATTGACCTAGATTACAAACGTAAAGCTTACATGATTTTGAATTTCGACATCTGACAAGTCACGGTAGCCTTCTCTATTCTTCGATGAGCAAGTTGGCCGCTTACCGTCACCGATACAAAGACTCGAAGGAGTTAGCAGCAATTACGATAATACTGCAGGATCCAACAATGCGGTCTCTAGAGACACGCTATACTATCGATCGTCGTAAGGCCCATTGAGATTTTGTACGAGAAAAGGAGTCACGAGGAAGTAGTCCCGAATGAGAGGTTCATCTGGCGAACCGTAACAAAACAATTTTGCACGGTCGGTTGGTTGGAAACGATGAATGAACCCAGCGCACATTGAATTTCGCACGCCTTTATATATTCACGCCTATCCGGCATACGACATATATTTTATTGAGGATTTCATTTACATAGTCATTGACGAAATTCTAGTCCTTTTTACGAATGTCATCGACGCGGCTACCGATAAATCTTATTCAGATTCGTGATAATCATGCTCTTTAAAGTCCTGGAAAATTTTCGAGTTATGCTGATTCTCAATTTGTTTTAATAATTGATATTACAATTATCTTCTTATGTAAATAATATAAGATAAATGTATTTTTTAGATAAATATTGAATAAACTGAAAAGAAAAAATATATATTTATAAAATTAAATGTGCAATTTATAAAATTAAAATTAAATATAAAATACAGAAAATTATTAATGCATATTGAAATTATTAATGATTCTATTTGTTAATGTTTTTTTTTTGTTCAAGACTTATAAGTTATAAAATAATTTGATATAATTACATTAGATTTGAAATTTAAATTATGTATGATATGACAAGAGTAAGATAGATACTTGATAATATTATTAATAGCTGTCAATTATTTTCTTTTTTTGTGTTTTTTCTTTTTTAACACTTTTGCTGGTTGTTTTGTAACTTCCTCCGGTATTTGCGGTTTAATTACATCTTCTACAATTAGATCGGAAATAGGTTGCGATGATGCAACTGCTGATACAGGTGTGGACGCAGGTGCAGGTAGTGGCGTTGGTGGTTTAGCTGTTCTTAGTTCGAGTTCAACGTTTCTATTTTTTTGTTCAGAATATTCCGCTTTCTTTTTTATTCTTAGTAAAAAGATATTCTGATTGCCCTCTGTTATGTGATCACTGTACACTTCTTGAGATCCTGTGGTAAATTGCGGATAAACCGTGATGGTCTTGCATTGACTATCCTGTTCGTCTGTGCCCGATCTCATCTACAGCAATTTGATTTGCATTTTTTTCAGAGAAAGAATCAAAATAATAATTAAAAAATATTTTTACACTTTTTTATCTCTCAGCTTTAATTCTATTTTTTACTATGAATTTTTCTCTTAGTTAATAAAAATTTTATATAGAAAAGATTTAAAAGTTTATATACAAAATAAAATGTTCAACAATTTAGCAGTTTCTTCTAATCGCAATATACGAATTGAAACATTTATCTGTTTTTATTCAAATGTGTAAATGACAAATTATCAATTTTTTAAAATTTAAAGTAACACACATTTAAAGAGACAAACCTTGTAGGCGATTGTTTGTGACTTGTAAGAAGATTCTTCAGATGCCGAGTGGACACGAAATACAATGCGATCGTCATAATTTGCATTGATTATTTTGGGACCTCTTTTACTTGTTGGTCTTTGAATTTCGACGCAATCACAAGGTGGATCCCATTCTTCTCGTTTCATTTTTTGTTTGTTTTTATCTTTTTCTAATCTAATGATTAGCTGGTTGCTAATCATCTCTGCTCCAATCTCTTGATAATATTTTGAGCAGGCATCTTTGGCGAGTATTGATGACGAAGACGACAGACGAGACATTGGAGGACAAAGGCACACATCTTGTAAAAATGTTTTAGAGTTGTAAAGATCTTATAATATAAAAATTTGCATTTTTTATTGGAAAAATGTTATGTATCACATTGTAAGCATCAAATTCTAAACAGCAAGGACTAAAATCTTGAATGCTATTTCAATCAAAACCTCTGTCTTTAATTGAACAAAAAACTGTTTTTGTATTTTTTACTTTTGTTTTATTACTTTATCGTTAGAAGATTGCATTTTCACACTTGTAATTTAAAATTTACGGGAAATAATCTTTATTGAAGGCAAAACATATCTATTTATTAACGTCCCATTTTCAAAGATGTGGTTATGTAATTTATGTAGTTTGCTAAAATCGATTCTTTAAACTATATTCAGTGTGCCTCATAAAACAAATTCATATCATAGATTCATGCTGTTTTCAGTGAACCATTATCATGTCATCATTCCGATATAACCCGATCTAAATTTATTCAAAATTTATCATTATGTAATCCGACAAGCTCAATTATTTCACAATGAAACAGAAATAGCAAAGATGATTGCGGCAACTTACAACTGCGGTTGTCCTATATTGAAGAAACCTTCATTGATCGCTGAATCAGTCGGATTGCAAGTACCCTGTTCACCTTACTGCTTTCGTCCATCTGTTTCATATCAATCACGAGGACACGCATACTTATTATCAATTCCTTTACATGTTCCAATTATTGCACTATGAATACGTCCAAAACTCCTTCACGAAGGCCGATAAGTGCGACAACTTGCATGCCAAAAGATAGCACGAGTAAGCAATTTTCAAAAAGCGGAAGCAAATCGAAGTTGAAGAAAAAATCCGAAATGTCAGACATGGAAAAAGCTTCGACTGACAAAATTGTATCCGAGATCGTTAGGAAGGGACAGCCGTACAAAGAGATCGAAGCTATCATCAATGACAATCGCGTCATCATCAGGACGCACAAGGAGCAGATTAAAGAAGAGTACGATCCTCCGTGCGAATGCGTCAACCAGACAGATGTAAAAGAATCTACATCGAGCTTAAAAAGATGCGATGACGGCATCACATTTGACATGGCCAAGGGAAGTTTGGAACTTTGTCGTACTTCTCGGGAAGATACATCATCGATGAAGAAAATTTGCGATCAAGAGGAGACCGGATGTCGTACTCTCACATTGTATCCGAATGTAAAAGAAGGTAGTGAAGATAGAAGATCGAAAAAGAAAAGAGTGATTGATCTGGAAGAGAATCCGAACATATTCTTACTGAGAATCAGGAAGTACTGTGATAGCAGTGATAAAAAGCAGAAAATTGATCTGGAGTTCCGGGCACCGCGACCCTGGCGACCCAGGAACGATAAGAAGAAGAAACTTCTCACAGACTTATCTGAGAAACTAGAAGAACACAAAGTTGAAGAGGACTTTGACAAGTAAACAGATATTGGCAGATAAACAGACATTATGTGACAAGAAAAATAACGAATAAAAAAGATTAATTTTATAAGAGAATATCAAAACTTTTTATATATTTCTCCGCTTTTCATTTGAAATTTAACATTGCATCATCTCTATAAAATTATATATAATAATAGCACTAATATCTCTGTATTGAGTCAATGGTGAATGCTAAAATTTTTTTTTCAAATTTCTTCTGAACTAAAAAATAAAGAAAAAGACATTAATACAAAGTTAAATTAAAAAATATTTTAAAAATTTATATAAAACTTTAATTATATCTCCGTTGCTTCTAATTTCAATTAACGATGATAAATATGATTATTACATAAGAAAATTATTGTTTAAAATATCGAGTTAAAATATTAAATAATTTTTTCAGAAACTTTTTAGGAAATTGAAAACAAACAATAGCTACATAATTATTTTTATATAGATTTTAAGGAATGAAATATAATAAGATCCATTATATATTTTCTCACGAGATCAATCTTTCTTAGATTATCAGCATGGTGCAGATAATGATTAATGCGTGTCGAATTAAATTTCCGGAACGTACGAGAATAAAGAGTTCGGTAGTCAATGGCTCTACTACGTTTTTCGTTGTGTGTGCTTAATTTGTCTCGGATCAGGTATATCCTTTTAGAATGATAGGGACATTCATACAAAATAATGCAACAGGTGCCGAATGCCGCTTTTTTTAAACGATCTTTTCCTGGTTCTCAGATCAATCTTAAGTAAATCCAATTTTATCAAGTTTTTCAAAATTCCGTTTATCATATGTTTAAAACTTTTACATACTTGAACTATTAATTGAACCTTCTATTTCTGAATTAGATAATATTCATTATATTCAACAAAATATAATTTATTTTGATAACATATTAAATATCATTAAAAAAAAGATGTTTTAAAACAGATTAATTACAGTTATAATTTATCACATTTTATAAAGTTCTTGTGATTTTTATATTTGACTATCAATAGCTCGTTATTTTTATTAATAAGAAATTAATACCAGTGATAAAAATTTATGAAATAAATCCGGCGTCAACAGATCGACGAATCTTTTCGCACGTTTTCGATGTAAGAGCGACGTACCTAAAATCTAGCATTACAACACAAACGTAATCGAAGGACAAGAAACGTCGTCAAGAAGGAAGATTGTCGTGCATCGCGCTCTTTATTCCCGAATATGTGAAACGAAGTGCCTAGAACGCGAAAGAGGAAAGAAAGAGATCTTGAAAAATTCCGGATCGATTCTCACGACTCGACGCTCGGAGTCAGGTGCGTCGTGAATGGACTTCTGGCTTTCATTCATCTCTCCTTGGAGATTCGAATAGCCACCCGCCCACACTAAGGCCCCCATTTTTGACGCCCGACAGTCTCAGAAGAATGGACGAATAATGGAGAAAGAAAAAAAAAAGACGATGATTTCTTGGTGAAGAGTAGCGACCCGAAATCGAGCCGTTCCATTGACTCGTATAATGATAGAGCCGAATATGCGTGAGCAGCGTGATTTTCAATCGAGCCAATATGCTTTTCATGTTACGGATTTATTAATGCTCGATGTTAAATGAGAAATGGGTGTCACATAATGACGCAATGT